ATTATCTTCTGTGTCTGTGTTAATTGGTTTCCCTTTTCTTTGTTGAAGAGGGTCTGTGCAATCCTTCTGCCTAGTCCGCCATCTTGCCCCGCCTCTCCCACATTATTATTTTTAGCAAACTGCCTCACGGGGGCATTGCTTAACATCTCAAATGATTTCTCAACTAGTGACTCATTAAATTCCTTAGAACCCCCACCCTACCCTCAGTGTGTGGAGAGAGGCAGGGCTGAGAACCTGTGACTCACAGAGGAAAAACGGTGTGCCCAATGTGGCCCACCTACTGGGGACACAACAAAGACTGGAACCTAAGCCTGAGAAGCCTGTAGGACAATTTGTAAATTCATCCTCCAAGCTTCCAGGAACTCTGGAAAACAGGTCCTCTCTGGACCTGCAGACCCGACACCTGTCTGGGTCGAGCTCCTTCTGGTCACTGTTGTTGGATGTCGTCCGTGCCACCCTCATCATCACTGCTACGTCTGAGCCCACGGTTGCAATCACTGTGTCAGTTGAGCTCATTGACTCTCTCCCAACAAATCATGATGTCCATTTCCAGGGAAGTGGCCGTCTCTGGGGACTTGTCCCTCCTGGTAACAAGTCCAAAGTGTGTGAGAGGACGTCTCACCACCCATGCTTCTAAGGAGCATTCTGGCTGTATCTCTTCCATGGCAGATTTGTTCATTCTTCTGGCAGTTTATGGTATATTTGATATTCTTTGACAACACCACAATCTAAAAGCATCCATTCTCCTTCAGTCTTCCCTATTCATTGTCCAGCTTTCACATGCATACGAGGTGAGTGAAGATACCATAGCTTGGGTCAGGGACACCTTCATCCTCAAGATAACATCTTTGCTTTTGAACACTTTAAAGAGGTCTTCTGCAGCAGATCTGCCAAGTGCAATATGTCTTCTGATAATTACTATTACTAATCGTTATAGTCATAATAGAAGCTGCCATTTGTGACCATTTTCCTGGCAGTTTCTGCATCTGTCAAATGGGTTAATAACAATATGCTTACAGGGTTGTTCTACCACACGTCTGTCAGCAGGTCCTACTGTGGTGGCTTGAGTGTTGCTATCATGCTGGGACTTATTTCAAATGCCAGCAGAGTCACCTATGGTGGACTGGTTTCATTTGAGCTTCCAGACTAAGACAGTCTAGGGAAAAAAAAGACCAGAAAAATGTTGGTCTTCTGCCAGGGGCACCCAAGGCAGCACCATCCATGCCAAGGACTGAGGCACCCACCCAGCTGGGGTCCTAGCCCCCAAAGACACTCCAGTATCAGAGGTGACCCCTCTGGTCCCACAGAAACCCACTAGTTTGCCCTCTCCCACGGACTCACCAGAAACCAGCCAACCAAAGAAGAGTTAATGAAAATCCCGTGGGTCACACAGAACGTTCCCCGGTATGGTGCTAGGGATGACTGGCTTGCCTGGAGTTGGAGCTGGTTGCACGGCAGCTAACCACTGTGTTGTTGGTGAGAGCTCCACCACTTACCACGTGTAAAGGACTCAGAACAGCGCCAGGAACTCAGCAAGCATTATATAACCGATAACTCAAAATTGAAAACATAGAGTGTGAATCACTCTGTTAGATGTTTAATGGAGATGGTCTTGTGTACTCTTCATGACACATCCATGAAGAGGGGACTGTCATTATGTCCATTTTACAGGTGGGAAAACGAAAAGCTTTCAGGGATACCTGGGAATATCATCGCTGAGGTCCTAAAACTGAGCAATGAACCAGGTCCACTGGGCTTTCTTGTCTCTCGTCTCCTTCTGCAGGTCCCCATGGGAAGGCAGGGTGCAACACGCTCTGGGGGAGGTATTTCCAGAGGGTGACCTGAGCCCTCAGCCAGGCGGAGGGTTATTAATAACCAGAGCTGAGGGCAGGGCGCCCAGGGAGGCCGAGCTCCAGGAGAGGGAGCAGAGCAGGAGGGCGGAGCTGAGGACCGGCCGCTGGGGGAGGAGAGGAGGCGGCTGGCTAAACTTGGACGCCGGCCCCTCCCTACACCCCCCCCCCGGAGCCCAGCTGTTCTCTCGGTGGATTCTCGGGGACTGGTTCATCACCTCCAAATACTCCTGTGACAGGACAGGCTTGCCAAACCCGCCTCCTGCCTCCCGCAGCAAATAAATAGGAGACTCGGAACCCACGAGAAGCGAGGAGAAGTTTCTAGGCGCGTCCTCGGGGTTTCTTAAGCTCCTGGCTCCGCTGGAGACCTCAGCAGCTCTGGCTGGTAGCCTGGGCAGCCCGGAGCACGGCGGGTGGTTTGCTGATTTCTGGTGAGCCCCTGGGAGAGGGGCCCTGTCGGCTTCTGTGGGACCAGAGGGGTCACCTCTGATACTGGAGTGTCTTTGGGGGCTAGGACCCCAGCTGGGTGGGTGCCTCTGTCACTGGAGTGGATGGTGCTGCCTTGGGGGCCCCTGACAGAAGACCAGCATTTTCTGTGGCTGAAGAATACACGCTGAAGACCAGCCCACCACCTCACCTTGCTGCTGACCTTGACAGTGGCTCGCTCTCTCTCTGAGCCTCGGTTTCACCTCCAAGCGCGGAGCCACCATGGCTGACGGTCAGATGCCCTTTCCCTGCCACTACCCAAGCCGCTTCCGCCGAGACCCTTTCCGCGACTCGCCCCTCTCCTCGCGCCTGCTGGACGATGGCTTTGGCATGGACCCCTTTCCTGACGACTTGACCGCCTCTTGGCCCGATTGGGCCCTGCCCCGGCTCTCCTCGGCCTGGCCAGGGACCCTGAGGTCCGGCATGGTGCCCCGGGGGCCCACTGCAGCAGCTAGGTTCGGGGTACCTGCAGAGGGCAGGAGCCCCCCACCCTTCCCTGGAGAGCCCTGGAAAGTGTGTGTCAACGTGCACAGCTTCAAGCCAGAGGAGCTGATGGTGAAAACCAAGGACGGATATGTAGAGGTGTCCGGTGAGTCAGGGCAAGAGGGAGCGAGAACTGGGGGGGAACATAGGCCTCACCCCAGAATAGCCTGGAGAGTTTCCTTAGAGAGGAAGCGCTGAATTGGTGTCACTGGTGACTTCAGGGCTCAGGAATGCAGCCCACAAAGTTATCTTAGGGAAAAGCTCTCCTCTAACCTGTCTCAGCTATGGGGGCCTTTGGGTGCTGTATCAATCTGAGACCAGGCAGGAAAACAGAAACCCCATCACATATTTCGAGAGCGAGAAGGTCACATTAAGAACAGGTTGAGCAGCTGTTGGAGGGCTAACAAGACACAGAAGAAGTGGGGTTTGTTGCACCCCAGCAGGACAAAGCAGGGTCTGGGAGGACAGTTTGACGCTGACACGACAGTAGTGATAACCATCACAGGTTACACATGAAACACCTTCCCCTGTCACTGATTGAGAAAGTGAAGCTTAATATGATTATGATAATAATTGTTAACTTTGATAGAGCGCTTACTACCTGGGACACACCACACTAAGCCCTTTCCCTATAGCATCCTGAGGAGGTGAGTCCTGCTTGTCTCTTTTGACAGATGAGGAAACTGAGGCACAGAGAGGCTAAAGTAACTTTTCCAGGGCCACCCAGGATTGAAACCCAGGCTGGCTGCTGGGAGTTGGGAGCCCAAAAGAGACAGGCTCATTTCTTAAATATCTGCTAGGTGCCAAGGGCTGGGACAGTGCTTCTGTGCCTTATCCCAACAAGTCCTCTCTCCAGCCCTAAGAGGCCGGGGTGTCTAGTCCCATTTTGCAGCTGAGGAGGCTGAGGTCTAGGCGGACCGTCCAAGGTCACGCTGTGAGTCAGCAGCAGGACTGAGTGGCGTCTGGGCCTGGTCAGTCCGGGAGAAGGAAGGCTCAGGGGAGAAGGAAAGAGGAGACAAAGAGGCTCGGTGCCGGCTCCATAAAACAGCACAAAAAGCTTTCTCTTGCTTCCCTTCCAATTAACGCTCCATTAAAAAGAGCATGTTCCTGGCAGAGGCCTGCCGGCCAGAAAATCAATGAAAGCCACTGCAGGCTGGGCAGGGACAAGCCCTGGCAGCGTTCTGGGAATTTTCAAAGCTGCGTGGGCAGAATTGTAAACATCAGAGGCCCCGGCGGGCGTGGTGGGCCCAGAGACACGCGGGGACCACGTGTTGATGGAGGGTCAGCCCGGGTTCTCAGAGCTGGCTGGGGACCCAAGGATGAGTTCTGAAACTGGTGCCGCCACAGCCAGCAGGATGTGCAAGTTACTTAACTTCTCTGGGCCTCAGTTTCCTTGTCTGGAAACTCTGGTTCCAAATGGCTGGGCCTTAAAAGGATTGTTGCATCAAGTGAGGGGGTGCATGTCAAGGGTGTACAGAGAGCCTGGCACCCATGGAGTGCGTGGTGTTATGGCTGCCACAGCTGTTGATGAAGCACCAGGTCCGTGGCACAGCCCGATCAGTAATGAGTGGTACAGGCCAGCCTGAGACCTGGCTCAACTCCTGGCGTGTCTGTTCACTAGCTGCAAGGATGTAGACAGGAAAGGCTTTCCATCCGCTTTGCACCTCCATTTTCTCATCTGCAGAATGGGGACCACAATGCTCTCTCTGTCTTGTAAGGCTGTAGGGAAGACTAAACACATGCAGATAATTCATGACAGTATATGGATGTTGTTGTTGTTGTTGTAATGTGCCGTCAATATATGCATAGTGCCTGCAAAATGGACCTAGGAAGAATGCCTGCCTGGCACGTCTCCTACCTCATTGTAATAGGATCGCACAGGCTTCCAACCCAGGGCCCAGGGGCTCCCGTGCCTGGTGGTCCCTCCAGGAGACTCTGTGTCCATCCTGGAGGGCTTTTCCTCCATGTTTCTTTGTTGTTGTTGTTGTTGTTATGTGCCACCGAGTCGGCCCCGACTAATAGTGACCCCTCCTTGGGTTTCCAAGACAGTATCACTATGGAAGTAGAATGCCCAATCTTCCTTCCGAGAAGTGGCTGGTGGGTTTGAATCACCAGCCTTCTGGTTAGCAGTCAAGTGCCTTAGGCATACGCCACCAGAGCTCCTTCTTTGTAGGTACTTCTCAACAGATGGGGTCTGGAGGCCTCAGGCTGGGTCAAGTAAGTGTTGGAGCCTGTTTCTACATCTGTAAAATGGGGAGGTTGGGAGCTAAAATAGGACAATGAGTGGCAGAATCTGTTTAGGTTGCAAAATGCCTCACACATGTGCAGTCAGCAGCCCCAGCTTGACAGCATCTAAATCCCCTGAGAGCGAGCACACACACACACACACACACACACACACACACACACGGACTTTCATAAAAGGAGTCTAAAAAGGCACATCCAAGGACTTTCAAGGATCTCATGAGTCTAATCGGCCTCCCTCTGACACCACATGACAAATCTATTCTTCAGTAAGCACTGTGCGCCTGGTGGGCCCTATGAGAAATTCCTACCTCTGTTGGCTCACTCATTTCTCCAAAGGACTTCTGAGGAAGTGTGGGTACGACTGCCACCTCCCATTTCCCAGATGAGGAAACTGAGGCCCAGAGGAAGTATCTCACCTGAGATAACCCACTTCTCTGAGGTAGTGTCTGACACTCAAAGCCAGGCCTGCCTGGACTGCTGCGAGTCAAGATGGCTGGACCCATTTCTGGCTGTGTGGGCTGCCTGCATCCCACCACCTCTAGGGTCTGTTTTACCCTTGATCTTTCAGGGAAGTGGGTTAGACCAATACTTGCCAAACCACGTGCTATAAGGTATTACCAGGCATCTGAGGAATTGCAGACAGGGGAAGCTGTGTTCCTTCCCCGGCCTCAGCCTCTCCACAGTTTGCAGCTGGAGTTTTAGAAGGTGTCAGATGAAACAAATCTATGAACAGCTCTCGTCACTGCAGGACTTATTCAAGCCAGACCAAACACACTGCCATTGAGTTGGACCTGACTCATAGTGACCCCTCCTTGGGTTTCTGAGGCGGTATCACTACGGAAGTAGATTGTCTAACCTTCCTTCTGAGGAGTGGCTGGTGGGTTATGTTGTTAGTTATGTGCTGTCGAGTTGGACCTGACTCATAGCGACCCCTCCTTGGGTTGCCAAGGCAGTATCACTACAGAACTAGATTGCCCAACCTTCCTTCCGAGGAGTGGCTGGTAGGTTTGAACCACCAGCCTTCTGGTTAGCAGTCAAATGCCTTAGGCACTCTGCTACCAGAGCTCCTGGCTGGTGGGTAGGGCCTTTACTTTACTAGTGTGGCTTATGAATCTCTGAGAGGTAGGTGGCTCTATTATCTGAACACATCTGAGCGTCTAGTTCCAGTGAAGTGTCTGGACAATGCTGGACTAGGCAGTCTCCATTGCGTGTCACTCCCTCTGTGCCCCACCCTCACCCCAATTCAGCAACCACCAGCCAAGAAATGTTCCCTTCATGGGCCACTGGGGCAGTCCTGGCCAGGGAAGGGACTGGAAAGCCCCAAGGCCTTATTCCTGCTTCTTGTACTTATGCTCTAGGCCTCTGCGTCCCCTGGAAGCAGCACTTTCTTTCTTTAGCTGGGCCAGTAGCAAACAGGTCAAGTTTGGCATATCCCAAAGTGCTGACTCCTGCTTCTTGGCACCAAAGTCTCTCTGAGGCAGGCTGAGAAAATGGCAACTGCAGAGGGCCTCTGGCTTCCCCGGCCTCCGGGTGGTTTCCTCTCACAAAGAAATCATAGTCATTACTTATTTCTGTTTATAAAAATGAAGTATTTTCATGGTAGGAAATGCAAATGTTGTTGTTGTTGTTATGTGCCGTCGAGTCGGACCCGACTCATAGTGACCCCTCCTTGGGTTTCCAAGGCAGTATCACTGCGGAAGTAGATTGCCCCATCTTCCTTCCGAGGAAATGGAGATAGGAAAACAAAATAAGAAATTAAAAATCACTCATAATCCTTCCATTGCCCCCTAAAACAATCTAAGTATGCAAATGAAATTTTAAGATGATCCAACCGTAACACTCCCCTTCAATCACATCAGCCCCCTCTCTAGACCCCTTTTTGTGGAAACCTCAGAGCTGCCCCTGCTCAGAGATCTTCCTTCCCTAACCCTAGTATCTTATTTGCAGAACAAGGACAGGAAGGCTTAGGTTCAGAGAAGCAGTCCTTTTTCCAAACAGCAAAATAAAACACATGTACTCACTTTCAAATCTACTTCCGTAGTGATACTGCCTCGGAAACCCAAGGAGGGGTCGCTATGAGTCGGGTCCGACTTGATGGCAAACAACAACAACAACAACAACTCACTTTCAAACAGTATTTTTCCAACTTACAAAGTGAGTACACGACTCCCTCTCATTCCTTTGTCTTAGGACCTAGTAACAAAGGTATTGCCACCCTATTTTACAGAAGAATAAACTGCGGCTCAGAAAAGGGTAGCCATGTCCTAGGAAATGCCAGAACAAGGACTCAATACCAAAACCCAGTGTTCTGGAGCCCATCTGCCTGCTTTTGAATCTTTGCTCCATCCCTTCGAAGCTGTGTGACCTTGGGCCAGTCACTTAACCTCTCTGAACTTCTGTTTCCATGTCCACAAAATGGTAATGACAACAATACCTACTTCGTAATGCTGTTGTGAGAATTAAAGGAATTGATAAAGGTGCTTAGGACAGTGGCTGACACCAACAGTAAGCTTTGCTGTTATTAGTCTTATCATCATCATCATTGATTATTTCCAGGGTACCAAGTGTGTAAGAAGATTCCAGGATGCAGAAGGGCTGAGTCAGAGGCACTGGCCTCTCCCCAGGGGAAGCAGGCTGATGGAGGCCCAGGCTTTAGGGAGGGGCCGGGAGAGCAAACTAATGGAGCTTCTCTGGCTGCAGGCCTGTGTCAGAGCTGACCAGTTGGTGGTCATGGACTTAGCAGCTTAGAACAAACTTTCATTTATAGAGTACCATGTTCTGGTTAGGCACATATTCCGGTCTCAAAAAATGATTTTCTATAAATGCACTCCTTTCTGCCCTAGTGGGAGAATTGATTGGTACAGCCCTTCCTCAGGTCAAGTTGGCAACAAAGATAAAGCCTTAGAAAAATTCTGTGCCTTAGAATTCACTGTAAAGAAACCGTTGGCCTAATAAGAAGACTTAGCTACAAGAATGTCCAGTGCAGTGAGATTTGTCCCAGGGTGGGAAGCCCCCTGGAGCCCCAAAGTAGGGAACTGTCTAGGTAAACTACTGTATCCACATTCAGTGTGCTCTGCAGCCAGTAAAGATGATGTCAAGAGTGTCTGGTGTCATATGGGGAAAGAAGTATAAAAGTATTATTCAAAATGTAACATACAGTATTACCTCACTTTAAATATGGAATACACATCTATACATATTCAATCCATCCCCAGGTTACAAACCATCTAACTTACAGATGACTTGTGTTGTTGTGGTTGTTATGTGCTGTTGAGTCAGCCCCGACTCATAGCAACCCCTCCTTGGGTTTCTGAGGCGGTATCACTATAGAAGTAGGATTGCCCAACCTTCCTTCCGAGGAGTGGCTGGTGGGTTTGAACTGCCAGCCTTCTGGTTAGCAGTCAAGTGCCTTAGGCACTATGCTACCAGAGCTCCTACTTGCCCTTTAATGTTATGTAAATTCGCCCTCACTTTGAAAAGATTAAGGCGCTCTGGTGGCACAGTGCCTAAGGCATTTGACTGTTACCCAGAAGGTTGGGGGTTCGAACCCACCAGCCACCTCAAAGCTGGGCAATGTACTTCCATAAAGATTTACCACCTTGGAAACCCAATGGGGGTCGCTATGAGTCGGAATCTACTCAGTGGCACTGGGTTTGGTTTGGTTGAGAAGACTGAACCAACCCATACTCACAAATTCTTCATCACAAACACCTTTCATGCTGTGCATGGAATTTTTAAATCAATGAACCAGTGTGGTGACTTTTTTTTTTTTTCCATAAAATAAGACTAAATAAGAACCATATGCACCTGTTCTGACTTATCTACAGATTCTTGAAGACAGTTAGGACTGGAACTCGTTCCTACCCCAGAAGGTGCCTGTATAACATACAGCTATTTTGAAGTAGCATAGAAAAATCCGGAAGGACATGTATGAAAATAGTACTAGTAGTTGCTTCAGGTGATTATGGGTGGTTTTGATTTTTTGTTGTTGTTTCCTACATTTTCTAACAAAAACGTGCATTATTTTGTAATCAGAAAAAGTTATCAACATATGACAAAAAAAAATATTGATAATATAATCACCTATTACAAATGGCCAGTTTAAAAACAAAACAAACTAACAATAACAACAACAACAACAACAAAAAAAAAAAACTGCAAAAAGACACTGCATCCCGGAAGGTTATTTAGAGTCTAGCAGAAGCTGTTAGAAGGGATCCCTGGTGTAAATGAAGGGTTTAGGGTCTCGCGGAATGTGGCCTGATGAGCAAGAAGTGGTGCACGTACAGCTCTGGGGGGCTCTGATCCAGTTTGTTGAAAGAGAAATAAGACACACTCTGTCTATGAAAGAAAAGAAGAGTAGGGAGGGGACACGAGGACCGGAATGTGTTACATCACTTGCAGGATAAAAGCTACTTGTGAAAAGTCAGCCTCTGAAACACAGTGGAGCACAGTTCTACTCTGACAAACATGGGTTCACCATGCATTGGACTCAACTCAACAGCCACTGTTACTGGTTAAGTGAGCTGGGTTTGCATCTAGTCCTCAGGATAGATGACGTCACTTCTTCCCTACCATTGTGGTCTGGGATGTTAGCCTGTTGGAAAATATGGGGTAACATGTAACCTGGTTTCTATGATTTCCTAAGACTAATGGTCCTAGTGGGAGCTCTGGTAGCATAGTGCTGAAGGTATTTGACTGCTAACCAGAAGGCTGGCGGTACAAACCCACCAGCTACTCCTCAGAAGGAAGGTTGGGCAATCTACTTGCGTAGAGATACTGCCTCGGAAACCCAAGGAGGGGTCGCTGTGAGTCAGCTCTGACTCGACGGCACATAACAACAACAACAATGGCCCTAAGAACTTGACTACTAACCCAAAGGTTGGTGGTTTGAACCCATGGTAGAAAGACCTGACATTCTGCTCCTATAAAGACTACAGACCCTATGGGGCAGTTCCACTCAGTTACATGGGGTTGCTATGAGTCAAAAATCAACACACAACAACTCGAATGGATAACTGCCTCAAAATCATGGTCAAGTCTATCCATTGTCTTAATCCACCTTCAAAACCAGCCTGGGGGTGGGCTTAAGTGGGTCTACTTACTAGATGAGGCATCTGAAGCTTGAACAACTGGACTTACTAGTTCAAGCCACACAGCAAGGCAGGGCCAGAGTCAGGACTTTGAATCTGACCCTGAGTCCTGAATTAAGTCCAAGGGGACCTGGGCACTGGCGCAGGACTTATTTCTTCTCTCCTTCCAGGTAATCATGAAGAGAAGCAGCAAGAAGGCGGCATTGTTTCCAAGAACTTCACAAAGAAAATCCAGTAAGTAACCTCCTTAGTCCAATAGAGTCCCTGGGTGGCACAACCAGTGAAGTACTCAGCTACTAACCCAAAGATTGGCACTTGGAACATCCAGAGGCATCTGGAAAGCAGGCCTGCCACTCTGCTTCCCAGTGGTCACAGCCTTGAAGCCCTCTGGGGTCCTTCTACTCTGCACACGTGGGGTCGCCATAAGTTGGGATCTACTCAACAGCAACTGCTTTTTGTTGTTTTTAAATAATACTTTATTGTGTTTTCAGTGAGGTTTACCCAGCGGTTTAGGTTCCCATTCAACGATGTCTACACCTGCTGTTCAGTAACACTGGTTGGTCTTCACACTGCGGGAACATCCTCAATATTTCTGTTCTGGTGGTTCCGTTCAACTGGTTGGTTTTTAGCCTCCAAGTCTTGATCTCGGGGTGGGGATGGAGGAGATGGGAGGCCTGGGACCTGAGATCTGGGGAGTGTCCCTCTTGAGCATCTCTCCCTTGACACACCCTCACAGGCAGAGAACTGACCCACACAACAAAGGGGGAGAAAGTGTCCCTGCAAACCTGCCATGGGACCCCAGGAGGAGACTGTCCCTGTGTCATTTCATCTGCTTATTACCTGTGAGATGGATGTTAACAATCCCATAGGTGAGGAATCTGAGAAAAAGAGAAGCGAAATGTCTCCTCCTCAGTCAAAAAAAAGAACAAGAAAACAAGCCAACCAAAAGGCCGAAGGGGGCCCCCCCGCCCCAACAAAAAAGAACCCCGCCGAAGCCCAAAAGCCCCGAAGGAAACAACCCAAAAAGCAGCCCGCCCCGAACCCCCCAAAGCCCGGGAAAACGAAACGCCGCCCCAAAACAACCCCCAGGATCAAGTTGAGAGGTGTCCTGATCTCCACACGGGGGTTTTGAGGCTGAGAGACTGGGACAAAGGAAGGGCAAGCTTTGCTGAGAGGCGTGAGTGGTAGGACCTCACTGAAGGTGCTTAATGGAAAGGGCTGGGCCTGGGGGAATCATGGGCACAGCACGACGGCTAGTTAGAGCCAATGCACCAAATTTACGTGGAGCCCCTACCTGGCAGCACCTGTAGGAAGAACGTGGCTGCATTTGTGGGACAGCTGCTAGGGGCCTCATTAAAAACAAAACCAAAAGGGGGAATAAAACAGTTACTAATGAGTCAGCTGACTCATGGCGAGGAGATCTGTGTATCAGAGGGTTTTAATGACTGACTTTTTCTAAGTAGATTGCCAAGCCTTTGTTCTAAGGGCCCTTTAGGTGGACTCAAACCTCTAACCATTCAGTTAGCAGCCAAGCCCATTACTCATTTGCACCATTCCAGGAACTCCAGGCGCTTCATAGACATGCCTCACCGCCACCCAGCATCAGGCCACTGCATGCATTTTTGTCCCAAAGTCGTTCCCAGTTATCACTGCACTTACCTTGGCAGTAAAGACACACTGCAGTAAAGACACACTGCCCTCCTTGTACTGGGGGGACTGAGTGTCCCAGAGCAGAACAGGCATATCCAGCTCCTTACAACTAGAACTGAGGACTCATCCAAATAGGTCTCCTAACCTTTGAGCTCAGTGCTCAGGCCTTGTGCCATTTCCTCTTCTCTGAAATGGACACTGAGGCCAGCTGTGCAGAGTTTAAAAAAAACAGAACAAAACACCCAAACAAGTTGCTGTTGAGTTGATTCTGACTCACGGAGACCCCGTCTGTGCACAGTAGATAGAGCTGCTCCACAGAGTTTTCAAGCCTGTCATTTCAGAAGCAGGTTACCAGGCCTTTCTTCTGAGGCATTCTGAGTAGGTTTCTGTCAACCTTTTAGTTACTAGTTGAGTGCTTCACCAGTTGCAACACCCAGAAATTTTACAGAGTTACCAATTGAACATGGAATAATGGCACAGTGATGAGCAGGCCGTAGGCCCTCCTAAGTGACAGCACGTGGTAGTTGTTATGGTTATCATTATTGAATCCGACCTCTACCACCAACCCCGACAACGATGCCCCCAGCCTGGGCAAACGGCACAAACTGAATTCTCAGGCTTCTGGGCAGCCTATAATTCTGCAGCCCTGTCTGTTCCCCCACATTCCCATTCTTGACCCGCCCAGGGCCTCTGCAGTTCTTGGAAGCCCGTAGACACTTCCTGATAAGGCAAACGTCAAACCAATTTCCTCCACTGCTTGGCTCTGCCTGCCACCCCATGACGTGCCCCCTCTAGTACAGCCACCAGATCTAATAGGGAAAAGGGAGAGGGAGGGAGCTGATGTTTCCAAGAGAATCACACAGGATGTCAGGATGGAGTCAGGCAGGGCAGGGCTGTGAAAGGCACCCAGCCAGAAAGAAGCAAGTGATAATTATCTTAAAGAGACAGTCCTCTGCAGGAATGGTACCAGCTCTGAGGCCTTCAGGGAAATAGGGGGCTGGGAGCTTGGAGCTACTTGACCAGAAAGAAATGCCTGTAGCTGCTCCAGGCAGAGCGTCTGTTTGCTGGTGCTCAGCAGCTGAGCAGGGCTGGTTGTTAAAACAGGAAACTAGCCATTGACTGACATAGCTGGGTGGCACAAACAGGTAAGTGCTGAAAGACTGGTGGTTCAAGGCCAACAGAGGTGCCTTGTATGCAAGGCCTGGTGATCTGTATCTGAAAGGTGACAGCCTTGAGAATCTAACGCAACAGTTCCACACCACACATGTGGGGTCATGAGTCAGAAATGAGTAATAAGCCGTTGATTGCCCTGAGCCCTACTAATGCCCACTTTAGCCAATTTACCATCCTGGTCCTATTCTTAGGACCCTCCAAGCTTTGTCATATTCCAACAATTGAAGGTTAGCACCTGGTCCAGTAGGGGGTTCCCGGGGGCCTCCTCCAGCATCATAACATGCATCAGTCACGTCTGATCTGTATCCAGCCGTGGCAGTTGTTAAATATTTCCAGTGTCACCTGAGTGTAGGGAGTCCTGGTTGCCCAGTAATATAAGTGGGTAACTTTGTGCAACTTGTTGAACTGCTCTGAGCTTCTGGTCCTCACTCCCTCGTGAATGGGGTTGTGGTGGGGAGTGAGGGGATGTGTGTGAAGCTTTGAGCGTGGGGGATAGAGTCAGTGCTCAGTCGTGGGAACTGGGATTAAAAGCAGCTCACACAAGAGCCGCTGGGACAAGGAGAGGCTCTGCCTGGAGTCAGACTCCAGGAAGTGAGACTGTAGCCTGGGCTGGCCTTGGGCAGATCTCAAGAGGTCTCGGGCCTTTCCTAGTAAAAGCCATGTCATTAGAGGACAAGGGAAACCCCTTCAAGCCATGCTGAGATCCTTGGAGATTTCCATCCGGGCAGGAAACTAGGGAGGCCCCAGCTGTTTGTCCTACCCTGGCTGGGACATTGGTCCTTCATATCCATCCCCATGTGAAAGGCTCCATTTTGACCGGGGAGGGGGAGTGGTCTTGGAGTTCACCCCTTAGGTTGGAGGCAGGGCAAGAAGGATGGCAGATGGGCTATTATCCACGCCCAACTGGGACAGAACAGGAAGACGGAGGCGGGGGCCTCAGGAAGCCATAGATGGAGGACACACAGAGACAAAGCCAACTTTTGTGTGTGTTCCACACATTCCCAGACCTCTTTCTGCCACTTCTTTCCATGTGCAGTGTGCCAGTAGCCATGCTGAGCTTAGCCGGTTTAATTTCACTGAATCCTTATACAAATCCTACAGAGTGGGTTTTACTAACCCATTTTACGGGTTATGGAAACTGAGGGTCAGAGAGGTGACAGAGCGCAGCCAGTCACACAGCTGGTAGCAAATTGATCTGGGCTTTGGCCCTATGTCTCTCCACCTTCAGAGTCCGTGCCCTTCCTGTCTGGTCAGGGAAGACCTAATTCCAGTCTTCACAAGATTTCTGCCAGCTTCATTATTCCTGCCTATATGCTTACAGTCCCGTAACATTATTTGCTGCACTTTTTTTTTTTTTTTTATGTGCGTATGTTTTAGATCCCCTCACTTTTGATTAAGTTCTTATTACAACATTCACTGAAGGAGGCAGCCATAAAAATAAATCCAGTGAAAGCAAAACATGGTTAAATTCTCACAAGATAATGTTGCCTGTCTAGGGTTTTAATCCTTAGGTCAGCTTGTTTTTTTGGTTTAAAAGGGAAAGTAGCAGGTGATAGAGACCAAAGACCAAATCAGCTGCCATCTAGTCAACCCTGACTCACGGCAACCCCACTTTGTCAGAGGACTGTGCTCCGCGGGGTTTTTGGTGGCTGGTTTTGCAGGGGTCAATTGCCAGGCCTTTCTTCCAAGGGCCCTCTGTATGGACCTGTGCCTCCAACCTTTTGGTTAGTAGTGAGAACGTTAACCATTAGCACCACCTGGGGACTCCCAAGGGGAGAATGTCATGGTGACCATTTCTGCCAGCAGCCCATCAGTTGTGGGCACTAAGAAGGAGGCCTCAACCTAGGACCCAGACCCCTGGACCACAAGCTCCTTTTCAAGTTAAGAACTACTGTTCCTGCAGCATCTTACCTTTTGCAAATCATCTTCAGACCCTTTATCTTAGATCTCATTTTTACAGATGAGGAAACGGGCTCAGAGCAATTGAGTGGCTTCCCAAGCTCACGTTTGACAGGGCAGAGCTAGGCTCCAAGATCATCATTGTATCCAAAGTCTAAGCTCTTAGCACAATTTATTTTCCTTCGAATGAATAAAAGACATTTTAAGCTACATTAAAAATAACTCCTGTGTTTCTCCTAGGCTTCCTGCAGAGGTGGACCCTGTGACAGTATTTGCCTCCCTTTCCCCAGAAGGCCTGCTGATCATCGAAGCGCCCCAGGTTCCCCCGTACTCACCATTTGGAGAGACCAGTTTCAACAATGAGCTTCCCCAAGACGGCCAGGAAGTCACCTGTACCTGAGATGCCAGCCTTGGCCCATCCTTGATTCCTCCCCGACCCCAGGGCTTCTCTGATTCCAGGCTACATCACCTTAGCTGAACTGATAGATTTAGTGTGATTAACATGTTGGCGGGAGGTGGATGGGAGTTGACCACAGATTCCCCGGATAGTGTAGCAATAGGTTTCTCCATAAGATGGTGAAATTGGCAAGACACACTTAGTTGCATTAGGCCAAAGTGCTGGGAGCTTTTCTGTCTTTACTTTTTTTTATCATGATGAAAATGTTGCACATTCTATAGCTGCAAACACATGGACAGGGGACTTAACGTTTCACGTTGTCTCTTACCTAATGGCTTAACACGAGGATTGCCTTTCTCTGGGGACCGGCCCATCACCCAGATCCCTATTCTGGACTTCCAGCCTCCATGCCTACCCCATGCTTTGGTTGATGGAACCCACTGGCTCATCCCACTGTGTTCCTGAAACCCAGGTCTCCAAAGAGTTATCAAAAAACAAAAATAAACTCACTGCCATCGAGTCAATTCTGACTCATAGCGGCCCCCTTTGGGTTTCAGAGGAGGTAACTCTTCACAGACGTAGATTGCCCAGTCTTCCTTCTGCGGAGCGACTGCTGGGTTTGAACTGCCAGCCTTCGAGTTAGCAGTTCAGTGCCTTGGCACTATGCCACAAGAGCTCCTTCCAAAGAGTTAAAGACAGGTCTTATATCGCCATATCGGATTGATCCACCAAACACATGAAAACAAATAGTGCCTTCTGCCGGCTGCTCAGGCATGTACAGCATGTTCCCAAATTGTCACTCCCTAAGGACTCGGAAAGCCCCTCAGTTTATTTTCTGGCTAAAGTCCCCACTTTCTTGTGTCCCCTGTGTCAAAGTTGGGATTTTTACAGAGGGGCTATCTCTAGATAGCCCCCCCCGCAGGAACCAAGCAAAGGCCAGACAACCTGGCAAGCAGGCTAGCGGTATTGTGTCTACGGGTGGGATATGTGTGTCATTGTTATTTGAGTTGTGCCATTGTTTAGGGGAAAATAATAATAATAATAAAGGAGTTGATGTTCTTAGCTTGGTGTGCTGCTTTTGATGAGGAACTAAATATGGCTTAGACATTGCTATATCAGTTAGGAATGCCCATGGCAGCAAGTAATAATGCCCAACAAATAATGGCCTACATGACATAGACATCCATTGTCTAGCTTCCCAAGAAGTCTAAGGATAAGTGGCTTCAGAGTTGTTTTTTTCAGCTATTAGATGACCAAGAACCCAGAGTAGTTCTTTGTTTTTCCTCTTCCATCTCTGACAAGTCTACTCAGTCTACCTTCATGGCTACAAGATGGCTACGGCAGCTCCAAACATCTTATCCTCACATGTCAATGTATAGGAAGAGAAAGCAGGGGCAAAAAGATCTCATATGGCTTTCCTTTTTAATCACTGAGCAAAATATTCTTCAGAAGCTCCTGAAGACTTGCTTCATTGTCTGATACTGAGTCACAGGTCTACCCTTAGGCCAATCCCTGCCAAAAGGGAAAGAGATGGCCATGGATTTATCCCCTAAGGCCGTGAACATCTTTGGGGCCTGCAATGCTGGCTTCATTCCCAGTATCCCTGATGCCCCCTAGCCCCCTCACTTCTCTTTCTCTAGCCCTCCATAACTCTAGGTCCTCTCATTGTGGTCACAACATGGTGGTCCTAATAGGCCTATATCCTCTCACATTCTAGTCCCAAAAGGAAAAAAGGCTTTCTCAGTAATTTCTGTCATATTCCTGAGAGTCATTCTTACTGGGCCAGCTTGGGTCACATGAACATCCCTGAAGTGAGCACAGTCCAAGAAACCAATGCTTCAATTGGCCAGACCTGAGTCATACACTTCATCCCTGGAGCCTCTATGACACCCAGGAAGTAGATATTAATTTCACAATGAAGCTGAAGCTAACAGAGAAGAAAGGTAAGTCAAATGGTGACAGAGCAGAGCTCAAACCTAGATGCTTGCTTTCAAGAGGAGTTGACGCGAGGAGCTGCTCAGCTACTTCTCAAGGGCACCTCCAAACCCTCAAATGACAGCATAACTCAGTAAATATTTCCTGGGCACCAAACCTGCCTGGTGCCTTGTGCTGGTGGCCAGGATACAGGAAACCACGAGGCACAATACCTGCCCACAAGAAGCTCCCAGTGCAGTAACAGAGGTAGGTACATAAAAGAGTATCTGGCTCTCGTTGAGTTCTGTATGCCAGGCACTATGGTAAGGCTTTATGTACATTGATACATTTCATCCCACTACAATCCTATGAGGTGGGTCCAGCTGTTACCTCCATTTTTCTGATAGAAAGCTGAGGCATGGAAGGATTAAGTACTCTGCCCCCAAGTTGCACAGCTGGTAAGTGGCAGATTGAGGCCTCCTGACTCCAGAATCTTCATTCTTAACCATTACTCTATTCTGCCTTTCTCCCAACAAAGCAAAGCATGAGTGTGTCTTAAGTGAGTTGGTCTAAATTATGGAAATAGGTGATATTTCAAATTGGGGCTGTTGGGGTGGGAGGGAGGATTCAGGGATGGATCACTCCTGTCACGTCTTGATGATTGGGTACGTTCCCTAGTACCGGTCTGACAAGAATATACCACAAATGGGATGGCCTTAACAAATAGGAGTTTATTCTTACAATTTGGAGGCTTTAAGTCCAAGTTCAAAGTGCCAGCCTCTAGGGGCTGGGTGAAAGCCCCTCAACCTTGGGGTCCAGCTCTGCCTCCTGCTCCCAGCCCACTGGAACTAGAGGCTTTTCTTCACTCAGACAGCTGCTGGCTGCTGAGGCTGAGAAGCCCCAAGATTGACAAGTAAAAAGGCCCACTCACGATGTCACCAAACCACATGGCAGGCTGTTAAGTCCATTGTAAGTCCCAAGGTCGGCAGAGCATGCCAGACTGCTGAGCAATGACACAGCTACACGTAGGGTCCAAGCGTGCCATAGGCTAGAGACCATTCCCAAAGGCTTCTCTACTTATATATGGGAAGCAGACCACAGCCCAAAGGTAGGTAGTAGCTGCTTGTGGTAGATCCCACCATGGAGTTGATTGCCATTCTCCTCATGGGGAATAACTACCACCAGCTGCCCAGCCACTCAACCAGGCCCAGCCAAGTTGACACAAAAACATAACCACCACAGGGTACAGTTGCAGGACTTGAGCAAGCAGGGGGTAGGGGTAGGAAGGGCCTTCCAGCAAAACACACATGAGCCAATGCAAAAGGTATGTCCCTAATGAAATCCTTTGATGGTTCCCCATTGTTCATAATCTTCTCCCAAGGACTTACAAGGCACTGCAGGATCTGTCCCCAGGTTACCTCTCTCCACCCCTGCCCTAACCCTCCACCCTCTGTCCTCCAGCCCCACCTAACTTCCCTCTGTTCTTCCGACAGGCCCTTTCTTGCCACCACAGGCTGCTCTCTCTGCCAAGGATTAACCCTTCACCCTCTTCTCTGGCTAATTCTTAAGGGTCTCAGGTCAGACTCCCACCAGGCTGGCCATTATCCCAACACAGTCCACTGCATTATAACAGCTTAGGTCTTTGTGTAGCAGAATGAACAATAATGAAAACTCTGGCCCCAGCTGCTCTGCTTTCAAGAAGGAGTCACTTAAGCATTGGGGAAAATCCCAAGTCACGAGCTATTTGTTCAACAAATATTTACTGGGGACTTGTGCTGGGTGGTGGGGACTGTTTCTTTCTACTTGGAGAGCCTGGGAGGAGGAGGAATATAAGACCGTTCTTATCAAGACTGCCAGTTCTGTGCCACTCAGTGGTGACACCTGTGAGCAGACAGATGGTACCCATGCCAAGGGCATGAAGGACCACCCGAATCTGCACAAGCTTGTGAGCAGGGTCTCCAAGGTGAGAGGGTCTGATACTGTGATGGGGGCTGAACTGTAATGAGAAATACTAGGTGGTAGATAGACCAAAAACCTAAATGAATGATGTTGTTGTTGTTGTTATCTGCCGTCAAGTCGGACTCGACTCCTAGCAACCCCTCCTTGGGTTTCCGGGGCAATATCACTATGGAAGAAGATTGCCCAACCTTCTTTCCGAGGAGTGGCTGGTGGGTTTGAACCGCCAGCCTTCTGGTTAGCAGTCAAGTGCCTTAGGCACTACACCACCAGAGCTCCCAAAACGAACAATGTTGTTGTTGTTGTTATGTGCCGTCGAGTCGGACCCGACTCATAGTGACCCCTTCTTGGGTTTCCGAGGCAATATCACTATGGAAGTAGATTGCCCAACCTTCCTTCCGAGGAGTGGCTGGTGGGTTTGAACCGCCAGCCTTCTGGTTAGCAGTCAAGTGCCTTAGGCACTACACTACCAGAGCTCCCATGACTCCCATTGTTGTTGTTGTTGTTATGTGCCGTCGAGTCGGACCCGACTCATAGCGACCCCTCCTTGGGTTTCCGAGGCAATATCACTACGGAAGTAGATTGCCCAACCTTCCTTCTGAGGAGTGGCTGGTGGGTTTGAACCACCAGCCTTCTGGTCAGCGGTCAAGTGCCTTAGGCACTATGCCACCAGAGCTCCTTAAATGAATGATATACTTGGTTAAATTCTAAGTGCATTGTGGTATCACACTCATATGCCAATCCCAACCTTTTGGAAAGCCTGATGTTCCCAGGAACGCTTGATGTGAGTGGTCTCTGGCAGAGGGTGCATTCAGGATTGCCCATGGGGTAGAGACTGAGGGCAACCCAGAGCAAAGTGAATAGAGAGGGGAATTCTTTGGGGACAGGCACTTGTTTCTGAGACATCAATGATCTCCTGGAGGAGGCACAGGGCAAAGGCATGAGCCCTTTTAATTTAAATCTTACAAGACTGCATACCTTCCCAATCAGATCCCCAATCTCCTGAAAGCAAAGACCACATCTGGTCAGCTCCCCACTGTACTTCTGACTCCTAACATAATACCTGGTGCACAGGAGGCATTTAGTACTCCCTCATTGCCTGGATGAATGGCTGAACCAATAAAATGAAAACTCATTTTAATGGCTTCCAAAGCCCTGTCTGATCTGGCGTTGGTCACCTCCCCAACATCTCCTCCTACAACTTCTTCTCTTGTTCACTGTGCATAGGCTTCCTTTCTGTCCCTCAAA